ATATCTACTTCTCATTCAGTTGCTAGAATTTTAATAATTTACTTTGGATAAAAAAATACTTGAATTGCTAGTAGTAGCTTTTTGAACCTCTTTGAGTCTTTCCAGGAACCACTGCTTAGGTAGTGGTATTCACTTCTTCCCTCCGGCTGAGACTGCCTAACCTTCAGGCGCAGCCACCATGACGTGTGCGGCCGGGGGGCCCTGGGGTCCGTTTTTCGGTATATTCTTACTAATTCCGAACTAGCGTAGTCCTTGAGCTCCTACACTAAAAGTATCCTTCTTTATATTAAAAAATCTGTCAGGTTGCAAAGATATGTTTGATTTATTCAAATTATTTCCGAATAAAAGTTACATACGTTCATTTCTCACGTGAATTTTTAGAAAATCATTTCTTTATTTTTAAAACTTTATATACACAAATTAGTGAAAAATGATCTTCGGAACAAGATGCCATTCTGGAATAAAAATGGCCACAATGACACACGTGAAGTACACCTAGAACACCAACTTCCAATCGGCATCCACGGTTGACTAACTGAACGTGCTTCTTTCAATGTGCTTACTTTAAAGAATCCTTACCACACAACGATTCGTCAAATATCGCCTAATCAAACTTTTTCGAACAACGCGAATCTGTTTACAATCCTATATCAGTATCTGGGTGATTTAACAACTTTTTTTAAAGCAAATTGTCCCGTAAATGAGCAAAATAGACCACTGTGTGACGGGTAGCTGATTGTTAGGAAGCTAGCCTATTCTCTGACGGTCAATCTGCGAATATGGTTAGAGATTGTACCACATAAAGGGCCGGATGTCAGTGGGACTTCTGGTCCCGTAGGGAGGTAGCAGTAAGCAACGGGCACGCTGGTCGGCGTTGGGGTGGCGGAGGCTCGAGGTACGGCCCCCGCCCCCGCCACCACCCCCGTCGCCGGCCTGGACGGCGCGTACTCCTCTGCGGCCACCACGGTCTCCCCGGACGCGTCCGTCGGGCAGTCGCTCGCCGAGTCGTCAGCCACACCCTGCGCACGGGTGTTCATTGCAACAGAAAGCAACATCCGGAGATGTGTTTACCCTATCCCTTCACCAGACGGCGGGGGGGGGGGGTTCAGAGGCCCAAGATGGTTGTCTGACAAACAGTGATATGATTCGTTTACGCGCGAACGAGGGAAACAACGTGTGAAGCAAACAGGAGGCTTTCCTGGAAATTAAGAAAATATCCACGCCAAATTATTTTTAAGTATTGACACACAATGCATTGGACAGACTTAAGGATGGGAACAGCTTAGCAAAGCGTCACTTTTCTCCAGAAAGTGCGTCGGCCAAGCACTCTGTGGCCACACCACGAGTGACTCGTTTTCGGAATCGACAGCAGCGTGAACGAATAGAAACTACAAAAAAAAGTTATGAAACGCTGCAGCGGTAAATGGCGATTTTGTGGCAGCAAAATCCGAATTTTAGGACCCGCATATCGAAAAAGAAGATAATTCTTGTGGGTACTGCGTACATGTAAATTACTTCCTCTAACACGATCTGTAGGGTCTACTAGCTCAGTTAACTTAGTCCAAAAACTGGTGAT